AAAAAAAAAAAAAAAAAAAAAAAAAAAAACCTTAGTGCACAACACCCTTAAATCAAACCGAAGTATCCTTCGAGTGATGAATTTTGAGTGGTTGGAAAACAGAATAAAAGGTGATAAGGAAATTGAGCCTAATCACAGCCGAAGAGAAAGCCCAACATTGCTAGCTTAACAAAAGCATTTATATATTTATTTATATATTATTCTTAAAGAAATAAAGAAAGATAAAGAGATTATAGATTAAAGAAAAAAAATATTTGTTTATTTTAGTATATAAAAAGATAACTAATTTGAGCCTTTTGGGAGGACGGAGGGAGTATGAAATTAATTCTTAACAATCAATTAATGTGGATCCGATCAAAATTCATTTTGCCTTCTTCGGAATGAATAATCTAGCAAAGAAAGCGTAACTTACTCTAACGGACAACCACTCTTTGTAGTTAAGAGGATCATCCAGTGGCTCAACGGCAGACCCAAAATAAGCCGCCGGTGATCTTGGCTCTACCTTGAACTTCCTGCAAAAGGGTAACCATATCTTGCAGAACCTTGAAGCCTCTAGCATGGCATAAAACGTTAACTCCGATCCACCATCATCTGACAAATATATATTCAGTTTCTCCGGTGGATAGTCATAAGCCATCAGTGATAAAGCTGTGTTGATCACCAAACTTGGTGGTTCTGCCGTTGGATCAGCCGTACATATGAATATGTCCACGCCTGGCAAATTCTTCTCATACCTATTCACACAAATACCAACAAGAGAGTTCTAGTTTAATCAATAGGTGTTTACTAACTTTAAAACCTTAATTCAATCTATTATTAATAAAAAGAAATTTTCAATTATCTCTTAATTAAGTGATATTTTAACGGTTAAAAATTTTGAACTCGACTCAAATTTAATTAATGGAACCTTGAAATAAGAAACGAGAGGTTTAGGAAAGAGATCTAGAACTATATATCTTTTGTTATATAGTCCCTCGTCGGTCAAAGGATAAAAACGAAAAATAGATATTATGTGTGCGTACCTGTGGGAGAGCCTGCCTTTGAAAGTCCGACGGCTGACAGGATTCCATCTTACAACAATAGTGAGAAAGCCGTAAAAGGAGAACCATAGCTCTGCCACAAACAATCCAATCCAACCCCATCTTTCAACTTTACCTTCCGTTGGAAAGTGACTCACTCTAAAAGCACAGATGAAGCAGATACCAAGGAAGACCGAGGCTGCATACAGCCGGAAGAGGAGACGCCCCTTCACTGGTGTTGTTTCAAAAAGGGGAAGATAATCATGCTTTTCCATATCTTTTCCCCTTGCCTATTTCTTCCCTCACTTTCTCTCTGATCAGCTCTGATTACTACTATTATATACAGATAATACTAGCCGATGTTGTAGTGCTTACCGTATATTACAAGTCAAGCTAAAATGTAGTCAAAACGAACACCAACTAAAATGTAGTCAAAACATCGTGACATCAATATGTTATTGTGTTTTATCGCTTTCATTTGGGAAGAGATAAGAACTGTGAAATATTCAAATTATGTACAAACTGCTTTACAGGGGTCTACATCTTGAAAAACACACACACACAACCGGTTCAATATAGGTTGTTTATTTAATTGCAATTTGTACTTTGTTTATTAGAATAAAAGTTCATTTGGTTTCTTCAACTACTCTCTCACCAATTAATGTGTTGAAATTTGAGATTGTATATTATGAGCGTGGTTTGACTGATTTTTTTTATTATATAGTTATTTTTTCTACACAGTTGGTGAGGATGTTCAAAAAAATCAATCTAAAGATTGATTTTAAACTGTTCTTTAGACTTTAAACTGTTAATATATATCCGTTGTTCTTTCTTTTCTTTTCTTTTTTTTTTTTTGGTAAAAAAGATGGAATAAAATTAAAAATAAAACATTACTGTCTGGGGTAGCAAACCCCTACACAATCAACCATACAAAACAAATCCACATTAGGTGGACAGTCAAACAAAAAGTGAAACCCATGAAGGGCTAGAGCAAGGTTTTGAAAATTAAACCGGATCGGCCAGTTGAATCGGTTGGATCGGCACCCGATGTAAGAAATGGGTCGGTTGAATATTTCAAACCATTTAAGTTTTTGAACCACTTAAAACCACTCAGACCATCCAAACCGATTAGAACCAATAACCCATCAAACCGACCAGGTCAACTCTTGGACAAAATTCTCACAAATTTGTCTCCACTAGGTTTCAAACACCAGGTCTCATGAAGGGTAAACAAGCCATTTGCCACTTGGCCACCTCGTGTCTTGTGAGGTAAGTTGCAAAGAATATCTTCTAAAGAATGCTCTAAAGATTTTAAAGGGAAAATGAGTTCAGTGAGGTTTGGACACTAGCCCTCTTGGATGCTCAACTAGATTTGTGCCACTTGATCTGATTTAAGATTGTTGTCAAACCATGCGTTAGGATATATTTATGGTAGAATTACGTAAATTGAACAACTTTGTCACTTGTGGGATTCGAACTGTGATTCTCCTCAATAAAATTGAAAGTTTTAACCATCAGCACCACAAGTAATTCTTTGACATAAGTTGCATTATATTTAATGTAATATATATTGTCAAAATTTAATCAATCCGATTTTTTCACCAATTAAATCGGTTGAACCGTTAAAATCGTGAACCAAAGGTCAAAATGGTTTGACCTCCGGTTCGATTTTGAAAACATTGGGCTAGAGCACCCTTTTTGGCAATAGCATCAGCAGCCATGTTACTTTCTCTCATCACATGCTTCAGTTGGACTTGGGGAATGGTGCGCAAAAGATCCTTGCAATCCATAAGCAAAGTGTTGTAAGCATGAAAGGGATTAAGATCGTTAGATAAAAGAACATAAGCAACCTGACAATCGGTTTCCAAAATAATTTTCTATAGTTGAAGGCTTTTTGCAATAGAAAGGCCATCCTTGATTGCCCATAGTTCAGCAACTAAGGTAGTGGTGTGACCAATATTTCTTAGAAAACCAACAACCCACAGTCCTTGAAAGTCTCTCAAAATACCCTCACAGTCGGCATTACCCAGGTTCCCAACTGTAGAACCATCTATATTACTTTTATACTAAGATAGGGGTGGAGGTTCCCAAGAGATTAACCTAGGACCCTGCTTACTTCTAATAGCAAGAATAGAAATGGATGCCCAAAATTCTATGGCTCTTTCAATGATTAAATTATGAGCCCTTTGAACGTCAACATTTTGATGGCAGTACAAAAATTGGTTCCTTTGATTCCAAAGAATCCAAATAGCAAAGCAAAAAATAGCAGTCTAGGGAATCTTGAAGATATGGCTAGGAGAACTGTTGTGAGCATGTTCAACCAGCTAATGTTTGAAATACATAGCATTAAGGTAATAGCAAAAGTGGAAGACAACTTGTTGAAAACAACAACAGCATGAAGACAGCTTCTGAAGATGTGATCAATCGACTCAACTTGCCTCTTACATATCATATAGGTAGGATCATCAATGATGCTTAGATAGTGAAGATATTCCAAAGTTTTAACTTTGCCATGGACCAGCAACCACAAGAACATTTGGATTTTTGGAAGGGTTTGGGGTTTTCCACACCCACTTCCAAACCTCATTTGTCATACAATCCTTACTTGTGAGGATTTTGTAGGCTGTATAGGAAGAAAATATGCCATTGGACTCTTTTTTCCATGAAAACACATCTGCAATAGAATGAGAGCTGGACATTGAAACTGCAAGGATTTGCATAATCGAATCTTGGGGGACATGATAACCAATGGTATCAAAATCAAAGGGGCCCTCCTGAAATACATCTGCAAGTAAGATATTGAACGCATTTCTAGTGAGAGGGCCAAAAAGGACAGAATCAAGGGCAGCTTTCCCAACCCAATGATCAGACCAAAAATGAACCAAAGAACCATTTCGGGGCACCCATTTAATACCAAAAATAAATAATGGACTAACCTTAGAAATGTTTTTAAGGATCGGAAAAGTAGATGAAGGAAGAGTACAATGAAGATCATTGATGTTATATTTCTTAACGAACACCTTTCTCCAAATATTCTTTTTCTCTGTGTGAATCCTCCAGTTAAGTTTGCTCATAGCAACAATGTTAGCATCACGAGTGCTATGAAACCGAAGGCCGCCATGAGCTTTAGGTTTACAGATAGTATTCTAATCCACAAGATGAATCTTGCGTTGGTTATTGACAGAACCCCATAAAAAGTTCCTGGAAATTCTATCAATTTCCTTATGAATGGAGGAGGGAAGCCACATCGCTTGCATAAAGTAATTTGGAATGGAAGCAAGGACAGATGACACCATAGTGGCTCTACCAGCAATGGAGAAGAATTTAGTTTTCCACCCTGAACGCTTAGAGCGGATTTTATTAAGGATAAATTGACAATTGGCCTTGGAGCATCTCTAAGCCGAAATTGGGATACCAACATATTTGCCAAGCTCATTTGTTTGTTGATATCCTAAAGTATGACAAATGTTGTCTCTAGTATTCTGGTCAACATTGCTAGAGAAGAGAATTTTAAACTTGGCATTGTTGACCATTTTCCTAGACCGAGAACAAAAGAAGTCAAGAGTATTCTTAAGGTACTAAGCATTAGTAAGGGTAGTTTACCTACAAAAATTAAGTCATCAGCAAAAAAATATATGAGAAAGAGTAGGTCCACGCTTACCAACCTTAGAACCTTTCCATTTGCCAACAGCCATGTCATTGGTAAGTTTAATAGAAAGGTATTCCATGCAAAGGATGAACAAGTAGAGTGAAATAGGATCACCCTGTCGGGTGCCTCTAGATGGGAGAAACGCGTCAGTTTTATTTGCTTTAACCAAAATTGAAATGGTAGTAAAGGAAACACAACTCATAACAAGAGATATAAACTTGGGTGGAAATTTAAAGTAGGTTAAAGCTTCTCTAATGAAGCTCCATTCTAGCCTATCATAGGCTTTTCCAAGATCAAGCTTAACCACCATATCACCTACTTGACCTTTTCTCTTAGAAAAGTAATGAACAAGTTCCTGTAATATTAGTGCATGATCAATGCCTTTTCTGCCAGGAACAAAACTTGCTTGCCAAGGTGAGATCATAGTATCCAAGACATGTTTTATTCTATTGACTAAAATCTTGGAGACAAATTTATAAGTAGTAGTTACAGAGGCCAATAGGCTAAAACTGCTGGACTATTTCAGGGGCTTTAATTTTGGGAATAAGCGTGATTAAACACTCATTCCAATCAGTAGGGATAGAAGTAGAGGAGAAAATATTACCAATACCACTACAAAGAGTACTCCTCATTGAATCCCACATTCTTTGGAAAAAGCCAAGATGGAGACCGTATGGCCCAAGAGCCTTAAAAGGCTTGAGTTCGAAAAGAGCATCCTGTATCTCTTTCTCGGTAGGAGAATTATCAAGAAAAGTTAAGTCATGGGCCTCAACAACAACAACACCCAAGATAGAAAAGGAATCATGATTAGAACAGTCTAAGGAGGAAGTAAAAAGATGTATGAAATGATTCCTTATGAGATTAATAATAGACAATTGATCACAAATCCAATTCTCATCCCATATTCTAAGGCAGTGGATTCTATTATGATTTCGATGTCTAATAGTAGATAAATGGAAGAATTTGGAATTACGATTCCCATCAACAATCCAGTTGGTCCTGGACTTTATAAACCATAAATCTTCCTCCAATTTTAAGACTTTCTCATATTCAAGAGACAACTCCTTCTCCAAAGTAGTAAGAAAATTTAAGGGTTGATGCGAACGAGAACTGTGGATGCCATCTAGTCTAGCGTTGAGTTCCCATTTTTTTGACAAAAATATTGTCAAAAGTGGTTTTCTCCAAAGTTTACATGAACTTTGAGTATTCAGAATACATTGTGAAGTGCACCAATTTTGAGTTGACCAAATAGGAGAGATCAAATCATGAAACTCAAGATGATCTAACCAAAATATCTCCAATCTGAAAGGCATATTCCCAATCCTACACATTGGAATATCAAACTGAAGAAGCAGTGGATTGTGATCAGAACTAAGATGAGGAAGGTGGAGAAGGTTAGCATTAGGAAACTAAAGATGCTAGTCAAGGTTAGCCCATGCCCTGTCAAGCCATTCCCTGATGATATGGTTGCCCTCCTCATATTGACCCAAGTAAATCTACTCCCAGTATATCCAATATCCATAAAATTACAGTTAGTCATACAATCAGTATAAGCATGAACTTGAGACTGACTAATAGGAGCACCACCAAATTTTTCAACTTGATCGACAACATCAGTAAAATCTCCAATCACAAGCCAAGGCCCATTGAAGTATTAAGCTACCTCACGCAGTTCATCCCATAAATGAGAACAAATCTCAAATTGGGGCCTGCCATAAACATTAGAAAGAAACCAATGAAATTTGGAGAAGTTGGGGTGAGAGCATACCTTGACAATTGCATGGATTGATTGAAAAGTTGAGGTGATGACATCAACACACGCTTCCACATCATCCCATAACAACCAGAGACCACCAGCTTTACCGTCAGAATCAACCACATGTATGCAAGGAAATCCGCAATTAGTCGCCACTTCCTTAACATCTTGACCAGAGAGCTTGGTTTTAAGAATAAGCATAATTGAGGGAGCATGTTGATTCTTCAAATCTGTAATATGCCTCTTGAACTCAAATTTTGCTACATCGCGACAATTCCAAGAAAGCAACTTCATTGTTCAAGGAGAGGAATTAGTGAGACCCAGAACTAATTTAGCTAGTGTCTGGTCGAAACATTAGCTCCATAATTTCCTTGTGCATCAACATCATTGAGGCCTCCTAAATGTGGTACGAAAGCATCAGGCAATCGTAATCCATCTCCATCGTTTTGAGCAGGATTGAGGACTTGACGATAACATGGATCTTCTCCATTTTGCCCATTATTTCTAAAATTTGGAGATTCTCTTACCATGCTTGAGCTAGGAATCTCAAAGGTTGGATAGGGTCCTTTTTTTTCTTCTATGCCTGGTTGTTCGAAAGTGGATTCTAGCTTTAGAACCTTGCATTGATCTATCAAAACTGTCTGATCTTCCTTCAAAGCTAAAGGATTCAGATCTATGGATTTGAGAGTTAGTAGAGGATTGCAGCTTGACTTGAACAGATCTCTCTCCTTCCACAGAGGGTGTGTTTTCTTCTCCCTTGATAGCATCAACTCTAAGGCTTCCTCCATTGAGATCACATGGTTGTTGTTGACTAGTAGAACTTTTAGGTTGGGGCTGAGTTGGGGAGTTGGTGATGCCACCATTGGTTTGTTCATAACTAGTCTCCAAAGAAAGTTTAAGAGGAATAGATGAGGCTGTCGAAACAGAACAAATGGTAGAGCTTTTTTCAAGGTTTTTTATCCTTTCTTTAACAATAAGCAGCAAACTTTCTAGACCAATTGAGACATTAGAAATAGGTCTAGAAGTTCCAATTTTTGGGCTAAAAGCATTTTCAACTAGAGAAGTGTCCTGTACTCAACTACTGCTTTGGCCCAAATTCACATTGCAACCCAAGTTTAAAGTTGGTGTCTTGGATGACTCCACTGCTTCTTTCCCTTTGGACATAGTATCTTTGGATGCAAACTCCGTCATTGGGCTTATGTCCATGTGGTTCTTCATAGAGTTAGCAACGGTTGATTTTTGGTCTGTATGCTTAGCAAGTTTGAATTGTGTTTTCACATTAAATGCTCTTGCAAGTATACCATTAGCTCTCCCAATCTTGACTGAATTTTGACCCGTTTGGTTCATTGAACCAGCCTTTCAACTCAATTCCAAAGGGTCCTTTGTTTCGTTGGAGCCATT